CACATCCAACGCCATGTTCCACCCTACGCCTCCTAAATAGCTCGTAGGTTTGCTCCCTCCTCAAAGTCCCTACTGTTCCTGCATGGCTCCAATTCACTCTCTGAGACCTACACCACGACCTTCTGAATTGCACCTGTGGCTCTGGCTCAGACGTCCCACTCTCTCAGGTAGTATGGTGCAATGAAAAGCAGGCTTCTTCCTAAACCAGGTTTCACCACTCAGCTTTGCAGTCTTCAGAAGAATCTTTAATCTAAGACCCACTTTCCTCATCTGTATAATTCGAGTCATATCTACCTTGTAAAAGGACTGTTAGAAGAATTAAAGATAAGGCATGCAAAGCCCATAGTCCTAAATGTAGAGCTTTGTACATAGTTCAATGCTTTAGTATTCTTACTATTTTCTTATCTGTAAAAATGGGCACTACGCCTCTGAGTTACTCTGAAGAATGAGACAAGATGGAAGGCATCAAACACAGTTACTAAGTGTTTCCTTTCATTTCCTTTTAATGGTTCCCCTCCCCAAGAAAAAATGTGGCCGCTGCCACTTTCCCAATTTCATCTCCTGCCACTTGACTTCACATGGCCCCTCTCTTTTAGCATAACGAATTATTTAATAGTACAATTATGTCTCTCTTCATGCCCTCCTCTCCTTCACAGCTATTTTTAGAGGTATAACTTTATGTGTGAGAAAGTCCTTTACTATGTATTTCAACATGCAAGTAATTATCATATTTTCAAATTTGGAATGCAATAGCTATAAAGAACAAGAGTACTTAAGAGAACGATAGTGCAGAATATTTGTAAACATGAAATTCTGAAAAAATCTGCAAACCTTGCCTTCTGTACCTGTTCATGTAAACATGGTGAATGTGATGAAAGACTATAAAATCAAGCTAAATGATCTCTAAGAAATAGCTCTGTCAGAGGTAAAATCTGGAGTTGAAATAAAAAGAAAGGATGATGCAAGTTAGAGCAATTAGGTCAAAAAAAGAAATGTAATTCAAAGCGATCATGTTTGTTTGTTGAGGCTGTTTATAAAGTTTCCAAAAGCATATGTTGATATATTTTAGATTTTTACATTAATTTACTAATAAATATGATAATAAATATAATCATTTCTTCTTTAAAAACAATAAGAGAGAAAAAATACTAGCTTAGGTAAATAAATTAAGTACTAACTTTCTCTATGTTTATTTGTATATTGGAAAAGAAATCTGTGGTTATTTTTCCCTGTATGATTTCATGATTTAGAATTTACAGAGATAAAGCTAACAATCTTTCTAAGCATATAAGGAAAAAAAATTAGTTCTGTTTAAACATGAATCCAGACGATTAAATGGCTTTCATCAGGTCCCTAATGTGACAATCTCTAAAAGAGTATAAGTTAAATGTTTATTTCTTGAATGATTTAACTATAGCCCTGAAAAAGCACAAAGTTGGCTCCAGGAGGAGACGCTGCTCCACGCTCAGAAAGTGCTTCTTCAGCAGTTGGGCTCTATCCTCGGCATTAGGGATGAGAAAATGAGCAAGAGAATGAGTTGAAGATTCTTAGTACATAGTCTACTGTAACCTAGCTGCAAACCTTTTCGAAAGTTGTCACACAGACATGTTTTCTAAAATGCTACCGGGAATGCTGAATCATTCCTTTCTAAGGGAATCTTTTTAAAGTTTACTACATTTTAAATTTCGAACAATTTTTACGTTTAAAAAAAAAACTTTAAATTCGGGGTACCTTTTTAACGTATGTATATTTCTAGTTTTCGAATTATTTTAGAACATGACTCTTCTTCAAACACTATTTTGGCCTGGGTGACAGCCACAGTGCTGATTTACGCACATCCCAAACATACAGTCAGCCAGGCCGGGAACATAACTGGGCACGGGTGCTCCCCAGGTCACTGAAAAGCAAGGATTATTTGTGAGCTTCTAAAACTATGGTCAAGTATTCTAGTGGACATGTTGCTTTGTCCAGGCGCCCAAAGATAATATAAAGGAGGACGTTATGACGATGTCAGAAGTCATCCTTTTTTCAGATCCTTAGTACTTTGCTTTCAAGTGTGTTCTTTTGGGAACAGAATTACAGCAGTCATGGAGGCACGGAGCAGAGCCCCAAAGGACAGCAGCTCAGGCCAAAAAGCAATCCAGACCGAGGAAAGACATCAGAAAAAAATTACTGACTTCATCATCCTGATTTTGTACATCTTCAGGCAGCCCTGCTCACTTGCATCATTGTCACAGCAGACACAGCCCGGGAAGGAGGGCAGCCACATTGCTGGGTGCTGACTCTCGAAAACAAAATGAGCTGTAAAGACTGAGCTGGGTGGCTACACTGCAAAGCCTAATGTCCAACTTGGACTTAATACAGTGTTCCTCTGCTGACAGTCCCAGAAGTGATCCAGTTATTTTTAAATGGATCGTATTTGTTGAAAGAGCCTAGAAACAAGCCAAAGATTTCTTTTATACATGGCTTAATAGATATAACGTGACAACATTGTTTACTATATATACCTGAAAACGAACAAACCTTCCTTTTGAAAAATCAGACCACTCACAAAACATGTTTTTCAAAAATGGGTTCTATATGATATCATCGTTGGAATGCCTTAGTTTGCACAATTATTTGGATTTACTTTTCAAACAGGAAATATTATTGAGACAGATTTAGCTCATTTAAACAATAATCACAACTAAAGTGTACATCATGTTTAAAAGATGAAAATAACAGGTCTCACTATCAAATAATCAGGTATAATGATTATTTTATTACCTTAAAATACATTTTTATATAATTATGTAAGCCAATTCATCAGAAACCCAAAATTGAACTATATTTATGCTAAATGCAACTCAAAATACACATGTAAATAAGTATTATTCGGTAAAAATAATCCTGATAAATTTTTATTAACCTCCTGTTATACAAATATGCTTCAGATTTTTATAGAGAAAATTTATAATTGGTATTTGCACTATTCTGTATTAAGAAACTGATGTTATACTATTCCCACAAAACTTTTTTTCTCATTTTTCCCATTATCGCTGATGAAAGTAATACAGGTAGTTTTTAAATACCAGTCACTTCCTACACTTCCAAATTTTCTTAGTCTTTCTCTGACACTAACCCATATTGACTAGTGAAAGCTTGATAAAAGTGTATCTTCTTCTAGTATAAACTTATTCTTTCACTAAATATTTATTGCTTGCTCACTCTGTGCTGGGTTTTGTATTAAAGGCTTTGGTTGCGAAGTAAATTAAGACAGCTTCCTCCCCTTAAGTGCTCATGGTCTAGGAAAGGCAGACAAAAATGCATTGAGGTTTACTATTTAGGGCAAGTGCAAACGACACAGAAATCCCCCTAGAAGGGTTGTTTAAATCAAGCAGGAAGGTCAGTTGACAGTTACACTCCATTTCACTAAATGAAGTCCACTTCCTTCCTCAAGGAGGTGATGGCTTACCATTGCCTGGTTTGAACTTCCTTGTCTTGGTAAAGCAGTGTTGACAGGTGTAGACAACATCAAAACATCTCTGAGAATTGCAATCACCATCCTGTTTCCTGACTCCACAAGGTTTAGCATCATTGAATTTAAACATATCAGCCTAAGAACTAATCTAAATTGGCAAATACCAGTAAGTCCAGCTGTTGTTAAGAACAGACGTGTGCATGGTAAGAAAAACATAAACTAGAAATTTATAGCCTGATACACAAAAATCAGATTTCTAGTTGGGGTTTTTACCATATATTTATTTTTTGGCATTTAGACATCAGAATAAAAATAAAACGTACCTGACAGTATAAATGCTTACCATTTTATGTACTAAATTAGAAGACAAGTTGATTATATATGTCTTAAGTCATTGTTTTCAACTGTAACAACACAAGACACTCCCCGAAAAACTGAGTACGTTATAAGAAAAACATTTGTGATATTATTATACACCAAATTAGAATTAACATTTAAAATGCCAATATGCACCTAAAAATAAGGACTTGTCACATAGAAAAGCAGTGTGTACATTTAAATTTATAACTGGTTACGTGCTACCCATAGTGCCTCAGGAATCAGGCAAAACAGACTGAGTTCCTTCAACAATATGTATATTTCCATATGAGTGTTTGATAGGAAATCAAAGCATATTCATTATTTTCCTCTAATACATTAGCCAGTCTTTAAAAGAAGCCAAACATCAAAAGACTAAAAGAGGACAAGTGTCCTACACGGCCCATTTGTGATACTCTGGTTTCATAAATGTAGTCATTTCAAACAGAAGAACCTCATTGAAATGCACAGCTACCCATGTATTTGAAATATATCACTTTTCTGATCATTTGTGGGGAGTTAAATTTTCCCTGGTCAGGGTGACCTTATCAGACTTGGGCATGGCCCAGCCTCACTCAGAGGTGAAATCAAGACAGAGGGATCACTCAGCAGTTGTTTTTCTCCTGCAGCCGGACGACAAGAATAACTAAAGCCAAAAAGAATGAAGACCGCCCAGCCTTTGTCAAATGGGATTGGCCGGGAGTTCTAATCACAGTTCCCTCTCTTATCAAGGGGTGGTTACGGCCAGCAGAAGGCTGAGGTACCACAGAACCTGAAATTGTGGGTCCTCGACACAAACCTACTCATCACCTTTGTGGATTATGGGATTGTCACTGAAACCTGAGTTTGAAATCACAGCAGTTCTGAGAAGTTTGATTTATACATTCCAACCCAACTGAATGTCGCCTTAGAGCGCTGAGACTTGAAGACTTATGAATCTCCCTCCCCCACAGCCTTAACAGCCCTTGCCTCCCAAATTCCAGCTTACACATTCAATCCCTGGGCAATTTTTCTCTTGGGGGAAAAACAATGGACTCTTTCAATCTTCAGTTATCAACAAAGGACTCTAAGATGAAGAAACAGGCCTTTCAACAGCATCTTTTCCGACTTCTTTATAAATGATGAGTGGGCGTTGGGGGTGGGGGACGGGGGCCGAGGAGGGAAAAGGTGACAGGCAACTCACCTCTTTCAGCTGCTCCAGCTCCTGTTTGAGGCTGTCGTACTCAGCCTCCAGCTCGTCATACTGCTGTTTGAGGGTCAGCTTCTCTTCCAGCACCACCAGCCCGTACTCGGCAGCCTGGATCTTCTCGTGGGTCGTCTCTGTGAGCTCCTTGGTCAGCCTCTCTATCTCAGTCTTATAATGGTCCACAGTCTGCGATACCTCTTCTGCGGCCATAGCCCCGGTGGATGGAGGCAGGAGCGGGTGATGGGGTGGGGGAGATGGATGCAAAGCAGGCAGGGGAAGGAAGAAGGAAATGGGAAGGGAAGGGTAAAAACGGAAAAGAAAAGTGTAGCTGGATGAATGAGCAGAGAGCCAAGCCCTGACTGCTCCTCTGGCAGCAGCAGCTACACTGCCAGGGAAACTGACGAGAAATGCAACATGGAGAATGCAGGGAGAGGATCAGGGCGAGGCGGCAGCTGCTGCCGCATGTGTCCTCTGGGCCGGCCCCTGCGTGCGGTCAGCAGCCGGTCGGCATGGCCTGGGCTGCGGCGGCCAGGGGCGGCGAGGGGCTCCGGATTCTGCTTATTCAGAGGCGCCCGGCCGCCATGTCTCCCGGGCAGCGTCACTGCAGTCTCCCCCGGGTCTGGCGCGCTCCGGCTCGCGTCTCGCTCGCTCGCTCCACCTGCTCGCTCTGGCCGTGCTGCAGCCAGTGCGGAATGATGCAGTCTCGGGCCCGCTCCCTCCCTTCGCGCCTGGCCGGGGATCCGAGCAGGGGGCGGGGAGGCGGATGGAGTCAGCGCGGGGGGAGGAGGGCAGGATCCGACGGAAACATCCCGAGGCGCCTCCCGCCGGGCGCACGGGCCACGCCGCTGGCTGCACCGGGGGAGGGGGCGCGCGGGACGGAGGCCGAGGCCGAGGCGGAGGCGGGGGGACGCGCGCGGGGAGGGAGCCTCTGCCCTGCGCGGCTCGCCGCGGGCGGGAGTCTCCCCCAGAGCTTGCCCGGGGGACGTCGAAGCCCCCGAGAGTGGCGTGGGCGCCCCAGCTCTCTCGCTGCGAAGAGAGCTCAAGCTCAGGAAACTGCCTGGAATCGGCGCCTTCCTCAAGGAAAAGCAAACAGTAACTAGCGCGCTCGGGGCCCGCGCATCCTTCTTCTCGTCCCCCGGGCTTGCAACGTCCTTCCCTGGCCGCCTGCACCCAAACACTGTGCTTCCAAAGCCTTCCAGACGCGCCCCAAGGCACCCGCCGGTTTCCGCCCTCTTCCTCCCCGTTCCTTTCCCTAGTTTGGGCTGGTTCGCCTCACACTCTCCCCAGATAACCTTACTATCCCCTCAGACACTCTTAGCTAAAGATCGCTTATCTTCACCCAACGTTTCTGTGCCTAGCTTATCACAAATCACTATCTACTCAGAACAAGATCTCTATAATGCATGCCTCCTGTGAACCTCTAGATACCATTATTTCTTACCCCAGTGGTTCTACTTTACAGATTCTTCAATAAAGGAAAAGTGCATGAAATTCCCTATGTACGGTATCAATAATACCCTACAATAAAACATTTTTAAAATAATAAGAGCTGATAGTTCTTGAGACCTCGTGCCAAGCATTTTTCTGAGTACGGTGCATGCATTCTCTCCCATCCTAACAACAACTCGGAGGCAGGAACCCGAATCCCCAATTTACAGGTGGTGAAAGAGGCACGGAGACGGCGAGTGATTTACCCAAAGTCAGGCAACTCATCAGTGGTGAAGCCAAAATGTCACCTTAACTCCAGACCCCTAAAGTGGATCATTATGTTGGCTTCACCTTCACTCATTACTAATAAAACCCTACAGGGGCTGGCCCGGTGGCGCAGCGGTTAAGTTTGCACGTTATGCTTTGGCGCCCGGCGTTCACGGGTTCAGATCCTGGGTGCGGACATGGCACCGCTTGTCAGGCCATGCTGTGGTAGGCGTCCTACATATAAAGTAGAGGAAGATGGGCATGGATGTTAGCTCAGGGCCAGTCTTCCTCAGCAAAAAGAGGAGGATTGGCAGCAGATGTTAGCTCAGGGCTAATCTTCCTCAAAAAAAATAAAAAGAAAGAAAGAAAGAAAAGAAAAAACATAAAACCCTACAACTAAATATTATATGCTTGTAAAATGACCACTTTAATCAATATGAAGAGTGATGATGAAGAGTCACGAAAGGAGGTGAAGACAAAGTCAGAGTGAAATAGAATAAAGAATGAAGAACAGATGAGAATACAGAACACGCAAGAGGAAAGAAAGCCATAGGAGCGGGAAAAGAGTAATTTCTGTGTGACCAGTAGGCTGTGGGATCAACAGACCAGGTGTGTGACCAGTTCCTTTCCTCTCTCCTGGGTGGCACTTATGACAGCTGTTTCTCAGTGGCCAGGAGGTGTTCAAAACACACACAAGCTTTCTGAGTTAGAAAGCAGCACTCATTTCTCCCATCTTTGAGCACTTAGTAAAGAAAAAAGACAATTGCTGATAGTGTGGAAAAGCAAATGACAATGCCCTCACAAAGCCTTGAGTATTAGGCTCTCTGGGTATGATTTTCATTGTCTCCAAAAATAAACAAAAAAGATTCCTTCCAGATGCTGACAATTACAACAGAATATTCTCTTGTGATTATCGGATCCATAAATAAATGAATGACTAGATGGATGGAAAACACACTTGAAACTTGGGACCACCATGAATTGCAACCTGGCAGAGAAGCAGGAATGATAACGACCACATCAGTCTGCCTACGCTGCCTTGCTCTCCCGCTCCAATTGAGAAGCCCCTCCTGGGTGTTCCTGTAGCGCCTATCCTCTATCACAATGATGAATGGTCCTGAGCTGCTGAAGAGAAAGAGATGAAACCTGTAATAGTGGTTAGCTGGACTAACTGCCTTCTTCCTAGTGTGCACCTGGCTGTCCCTCACTCCACGAAGTGTAGGCACAGCCCTTCCACAGAAATCGTAACACCTGGAACAGACTGCCTGTGTCTCTCTTTCCTTTGGACAGAACTAAGGATGGAGTTTGCCTCTGTGAGTTTCCTTTTTCTAAGTGTCCATTGCTGCCCATTCCCTGTACTCTATCCTGCCCCATTTTTCTGATGGATACACTTCTGTTAATTTATTCAATCTGACTTCATTCAGATGTGTAGACTATTCTAACACTTTAAAATTTTGCTGGGGCCGGCCTGGTGGCACAGCAGTTAAGTGCGCACGTTCCGCTTCGGTGGCCCGGGGTTTGCCGGTGTGGATCCCAGGTGCAGACATGGCACAGTTTGGCACACCATGCTGTGGTGGCATCCCACATATAAAGCAGAGGAAGATGGGTACAGATGTTCGCTCAGGGCCAGTCTTCCTCAGCAAAAAGAGGAAGATTGGCAGTAGCTAGCTCAGGGTTAATTTCCTTAAAAAAAAATAAAGATTTTGCTAACTGCAACTTTGATCCTTTTTATGTTGGTATTTAACTTGAAGCAAGTAAACTTACCTCCTTGTACACTGTACTCTGCCAGTACTGCACTGTACAGTTACATCTCTTTCTTCATCTGTATGTGTCATACATGTTCTATAAACTTACATATATGTGTGTGCGTGTATATATATATCAATGACAAGTATCTAGAAAATAATTTCTTAAATTTCATTCCTAGAAGCAGGGTTCCCTCATATTTCTTTATCCTAGCAGCCTCCAATCACTTATGGAACTTTCTTACTTACAGATATTTAGGAAAAATTGTATTTTGTGACCTAGTACCTCAAACCAACCTCTCACCAACTTTGTCAGCAGGAATATTGCTTTCTCTTGCTCTCTCTCATTCGTTCGTTCATTCAACCAATCTTTATTAAGTACCCTTTAAGTCCTAGGTACAATAGTAGGCCTTGTAAAGTCAGTGACCAATAAGATGAGAGTGGTCAATGGTCCCTGACCTCCTGGAGGGACATCTCCTCCCTTATGTTCTGGGAGGGACAGACAAAAAAACAAACCACAACAACAAAAAAGATAAATTAATGCAATAATTCCAGATTGGGACATTGACAGGCAGGATACAGCATAGTGATTAAGAGCACAAGCTGGTCTGCTTGGGTCAACTCTCACTTTGCCACTTGCTGGCTGTGTGTGCCTGAGTTGCCTCATCCTTAAAGAGGGGAAAATAATAATATCATCTACTAATGAGATTGTTGTGAATAGTATCAGACACCTAGTAAGCAGCATGTATGTTTGTTTTTAAAAGTTGTGAAGAAAAATAAGGATAAGATTGAGGTTGAAAAAAGAATAACCGGATGATCAGTGGAGGTCTTTCTGAAGCAGTGATACATATTGATCTTAGCATCTAAGGAACAGGAAGGAATTGGATATGCAAAATGTGGGGGAAGAGCTTTCCAGGCAGAGGAACAGCATGTGTAAAAACCTAAGGCAGCAAAGAGCTTGGTGAGTGCGAAGAATAAAACTCAGATGCTGAGGCTTCATAAGCCGAGGGGAGATGGCCTAAGATGCCACCAGAGAGATGGGCACCTCTAGAGAGGGGGTCAGGGATGGTGCCTGCCTTGCAGGTTAGATTGAGGAATTTGGATGTTGTACACCTGAAATTAATGTAACGTTATACGTCAATTGTATCTCAATTTTAAAAAAAAGAACATGATCCTTTCAAGTGCAAATATTCACAGACTAAGAAATTTTCCTAGCCAACTGAGTTTCACACCGGAAGAGACAAGATACTTCTGTTTAGCTTCTCGGCAAGCATTAGAAAAATCTTTAAATACGCTTCCTAACTGAATCAGCCTTTAAGTCAGAATAGCTGGTACGTCGTGAGTTGAGATTTTAAGGCTGCCAGAAAGGACATTTCAAATCCTCTGCTCTTCTTTCTAATCCCCCTCAATGATGTCTGAAATTCCTTTGGGAATAAAGAGAGAAGTCTATCATCTCATAATTAGAAATAAGTTTAAAATGCAAAACGTTATTAAACTTAAATTTACAGTTATATTTCCTTTTTATTTTTTCCTGATTTTGATAAAGAGTTATACCAAGGAAGGAACTGAAGGCTGGGAACACTGAAGACAAACATCCTCTAATTCACATTTGTCCCTGAGGCTGGCCTTGCACCCAGTTCTTCAAGATTTGAATAAAATTCTTTAATCTGCTTCTTTCTGCTAAAATATGTCCCCTTCTCTTGGTTTTTAATGGCCCCAGCATTTACATAGAGATTCTGAACCAGTTCAGAAGCATTCCTTTGCCCAACGGCCTCCAAAAAAAAAAAAGGAAAAATAAGGAATTGAGGTTTTATTCTCAGTGCAGTGGGAGGCTTTTGAGTATTTAGTCAGGAAATGAAATGATTTGATTTGTATTTAGAGACTATCTACTACATGCAAAAAAGATTGGAGGTATCAAAAGATAGAAATGGGGTCACTAGTTAGGAAGCTGTTGTGGTTGTCTAGGAGAAAAAATGGCCTGGATTGGGTGGTGGCAGCAGGGAAAAGAAGTGGATGGATTCAAGATATATGGGGAGGGCGGATGATAGAGGTCTCAAGACTTGGTTGGAGATAGGATATGGGATCGGGATTAAAAAGGAATCATTAATAAATTCTAATTTTCTGACGGGCAATTGGGAAGATGGTTTGGCATTAGTTAGATGGGAAAGGCTGGAAGGGAATTTCAGGAGATTAAAAGTTCTATTTTGAACATATTAAATTTAAGACACTTTTGAGACATCTGAATAGAAATGTTAAGTAGACAATTGGATGTAAGACCAG